TGAAGCCACTAAGTATGCTTTAGAAAATTATCAGTAGTTCTTAATTTTAAGAACATTCTTCCAAAACACTCATTTAACCCTAGTAGTTTATTTATCAGAAGGTCAGCTCTAACAGCTGCTAAATAATGATTTTTCCTCCCATTTAGGCAACTGCAGAGACTAGCCAGAGTTTAAGTTGATAATGATTGCAAACCTATAGCAGTATGTAAACTCTAGACTTCAACAAAATATACTCACCATGACCACTGAACCAAGAAACATGAACCAAGAAAATAATCTTAGTTTGTGAACCTTACTGCTCCCTTTTCCATCATACTCCAAGATGACAACACACTCAAACTCCTGGTGCACTTAAAAATACCCTGATATGGCCAGAACTCACAGAAACTGCACACCAAGTCTATGACTTTCATTAGCAAGTCCTGTTCCTACTTATAAGACCTACAATGAGACTCTAGCTCTGCCCTGTACTAGACTGATTTTTTTTATTAGTGACAGTGATACTTAGCATTAATAAGCAAAATACTTTTGCAGAGTTTAAANTACCCTGATATGGCCAGAACTCACAGAAACTGCACACCAAGTCTATGACTTTCATTAGCAAGTCCTGTTCCTACTTATAAGACCTACAATGAGACTCTAGCTCTGCCCTGTACTAGACTGATTTTTTTTATTAGTGACAGTGATACTTAGCATTAATAAGCAAAATACTTTTGCAGAGTTTAAAGTATTTTCATATTTCAAAAACCATAAGTTTCTTTATATTTATAGAATGATTCTGAGGTACACAAAGCACTTTTTATGGTCTGCTTCATTAATACTCTTATCATATTTGTGAAGTAGGTAAAAGGCTATTATAATTAGAACTGTTTAAGAGAAAGGTTAGACAATTTCTCCAAAGTTACACAATGAATGAAAGATAGATATGGAACTAGAAAAAAAAAATACCTTGATTTACAGAGTGATGCTCTATTAGAATAGACAGATAGATGCAACTGTCCAAAAAGTTTACAAACTATATCACGCCACTTTTTTTTTTTTTTTTTGGCTGGGTGGTATAGGGCTCTGAACCCTTGACCTTGTGTGTTAAAAGACCTTGCTCTAACCAACTGAGCTAATCAGCTAGCCCCCATCTCTCTTTTCAAAACATACACCAAAGACAAATTTTTACAATAAGCCCAATAAGCAATAGTGAATTGCATGTTTATATATATATTTTTATATATTTATAGATATATTTATATATTTTTATATATATTATACATTTATGTATTATATATATTTATATATTATTTATAAATATTTATATATTACATATAATATAAATAACTTAAAACATTCCCCATTAAATACAATATACTTTAGTAGAAATGCAGATTTGTTATTGAAAAATGCTTGCCTGAACTTTCTCTTAAACTTGCAGAAATTTCTTCACTGACTTCCTGGATTTACTTAGAACCTTACTGTTAAGAGGTTTGCATACTTAAAATGAATAGTCATTTCTCAGATAAACGTGCATAATTGTGCATAATCCCTACACAGTATCTACGACTAAGGTATCTAGGATATTTTGAAAATTGGGAAAGATGAGTACCCCAAACAAGATCTGTGACTCTAGTCTGTTCATTTGACCATAGGGAAAGAGACAAACTTCTTGAAAGATATGGTTTCCCTTCCCTTTACAGCACTGCCAAAAAAAAAATGGTGGTACTGTTTTTTTCCACTCAGCTAAGGAGTCATTTCTTCCAGGTTACCTCCTTCTGTCTTTCCTCTACTAAAAGTAATAGATATTCCACATCTACAAAAGGAGTGGAAGGTAACAGATAAGCTCTAACAGCCCAAAACATTTCCAACTTGTCTATAGGAAATAATTACATGTGAACGAGATTGGTTTAGACAAAAATAGTTCCTTACAGTTACATGCCTTTATTTCACCAGTGACAAGATGTAACATACTTAAAAATCCCTAAAAGTTGGAAGCTTTTATAAATGTAGTTTACTGTAAATTAAGCTAAATAAGAAAGTGCAACAGGAAATCTTGTGCACAACCATAGTTTTTGATTCCAACCTAGCCACTGCAACTACATTATCTGAAAGCCTAACAACTGCTCTGAAAAGCTACGTTGTAGCAACATGCCAATCTGCCATGAAAATTTTCTTGAATCTGGAATATGCAAAAAGTAAATTTACAAACACAACCCACTTTAGTATATCATTCATTACATTTTAGGATATCTAAACAAACAAAAAATAATCTCCCATGACAACACACCAAGAATGAAAATATAAGTGATATCTATATTTACATTTACTATTTCTTATTAACATCTCCATCCAAAACCATTACTCACATGAGTTAAAAATAAGTATTTTTATTTTGTAGTTCTAGGAAAACCACCTACATTGCCAAAATCTAAGTAGTGATATTAGGTCTTAAAAAAAAAAAAAGCCCTAAAGGAGCAACAAAAATTTTTTAAAAAGAAACGAATGATGCATGCTTTAAGTTGAATATATAACTCAAACGGAGAAATTAAACTCCAGTAATCATTTTAAGAGAATTTTTACTTATGAAAATTGCAGAATTATACTTATCAATCTAAATAGCAAAAAAAAAGCCTAGCGAAAACACCTTTAGCAAAGCTTCTACCCAAACTAAATTTTGACATTAAGAAAAAAAACCCTTCAAAACAGAAAGCACTACCCAGAGTAAAACATTTTAGGAAGCGTTAAAAAAAAGAAAAAGTAAGAAAAAGTAAGGAATTATAATGTTAAAGTTGTTATCTTCTACTCAAACCATAAAATATACTTTTAATACTTGTAAAAGTATTGAGTAAAAGGACCTCTACCAACAGACAAAATCAGAGCTTGTATGAAAAATTGTCAAAAAAAAAGGCAATAGGAACAGTAGCTGTACAAGATAGAAAGATTTTTTCTTTTTTTCCCAATCTTAAATAACATAAAGTAACAATAAAAACATTTTTTAAACATACAGAACTTTTCCTTTTTTCCAGGCTTTTCCAAATATGGTCAATTTCTTAAATCTTATTTCCCACCTTCACCACAATCCATTTCCATCTCTGTGCTGCAACACTCTTTATTGTAGAAAAGTATGATGCACATTCAAGAAGCCATTGTTCTTTTACAAAACTTTCAAATGTATACAGAAGTCATTTTCACTATAACTAGACCACCACTAATCTAAAACTCAGAAGCCTTTAGTACATATTTATTCATTCTTTTATATCTGTGCTCTCTACTCACACTTCTCATCCTCAGAATGCAAATACCACTTCAGACATCAAAATTCCCCTAATGCTGCCTACCTTACCCATCCTACTAGCTTCATAAGGCTGACCCATTGGATTACAGATGACTCTCTTCCTAGAGTTACTTTCTTCCCCAAGAAACCAAGATAGCAAAAAACAAAACAAAACAAAACAAAAAAACAAAAAACAATAACAACAAAAAGCCAACCCACACACAAAAGTTAGTTAAAGCTTCTCAGGAGGACCAGGAAACAGATCAACAGGGAAGTAGTTTTATGCTGTCTCCCAGCAACCCAAACTCATGCCTCCACACCTCTCAAACTACTCCCTATTTCCACCTCTGAAAAACACTGAATTTTTTCAATAAAGCAATCTGATCTTTTGAAGCAAAGCCGCCCATCTCTTCTTCTACCCTCTTTCAGGCAGAAAACTCTAACCTCCAATAAAAGGGTAAGTAAGCAGAATTGAGGAGGGGGCACGAAATGATCCTTTCCCTTCCACTACTTTCCCATGCCCTCTTTCCAAAGAGGTAAAAACATCTCTCTCCAACCTTCCAGCTTTTCCTCTCATCCCCCTAGGAGATCTGTTGCAGAGCCTAGCTATACTCCAGTACCCCAAATAAACATTCCACAACCCTCCCTCCTTAAAATGGTTATAAAACAAAAACCTACTATCTCTGCTATCCCTTTCAAGCCTTGCAATAATACACGCACAACCATCTACCACCACCCAAAATATTTCAAAAGGACAGGTATCTCTCATCGATTTCAGCCCCTAGACAATAATCCTACACTCGAATTGTTTTCAGTTGTACTCTCAATCTTTCAACAATATTTACAAAACCCTTACTCTTTCTACTACCCTTTTTATTCCTCCAATACCTGTATCTAAAAATCCCTAGATGCTGCAGGTACACCCCTTTCAATCCTTTCGCCAATAATACTACATACCAGTATAGCCCTTTCAACCCTCAATTATACTTATAAAAACCTCAATTTTTTTTGCCAACCTTCAATGGTATCTAAGAATTATCAGTTCTCCTCGTAGTATCAACTCCTCAATATTACCTTAAAATCCTTTACTACTTTGCCATCATACTTACCAGCTCCCCAATAATTTCTAAAACCCTTCAATGTCCACATAGCCCTTTCAGCTACTCCTTATTTTTCAAATCCTTCAATATCCTTAAACCCTTATAGCTCACCAATAATCCCTAAAAAGCGTCAATGTCCCTGCTACCTCTTTCTGTCCTAATATTTTAAAAAGGCCCTCGATACTCCTTTTAGCCCTAGAACAGACCTTTTAGTCCGGAATAATACTGTTTGTAAAGCCCTCGATATCCTGCTGTTCCCTTCAAGATCCCAATATTCACATTTTAAAATCTCCCGATAGCCCCGCTAACCCCCTCAGTTCTCAAATAACAGTATTTTAAATCCCCTCACTATCTTTGCTACCCCTTCTAACACCCCAATATTTATATTTAAAAAGCCCTCGCTGTCCTTGCCCGCCCCGGTCCCACATCAACACCGCCTCTACGCCCCAAGCTCCCCCTCTTCCTCCTTCGTTCCCCCACCCCCTCCACAATGGTGATAGTACTACAGAGAAGACACCGCCGGGACCTCCCGGTCGCGGTCCCTCCGCACCGCACCCCCCACTCCGCCTCCCCTCCCCCCACACCCCCGCGGGCCCCCAACGCCCACGTTCGCCGGCCCCGGCCCAGGCCGGCTCACTCACATCGGCTCCAGTAACTTGGCCAGCCAGGACTTGAGGGCATCCACATCCTCTATGAGCATGGTGCAGGGAAGGCGGGCTTGGCCGCCGCTCCTCTTCAGGCCTGCCGTGAGTCTCCACTCGCCGCCTCCTCACGCTCTCCCTCACAGCTCCCGGTGCCCCAGCCCACCGGGCATCTTACGAGACTTCAACCTACTCTCCCGGCCGGGGCCTAACAGGAACTAACCCAAGCGCCCTCACTCAACGTAGCATGAAGGCTCAAGATAGGCGGGATATAGCACCGAGCGGCGGTGCTGATAGCCAATAGAAGAGAGAGGACCGTGCGCGCAAGGCCAATGAAAAGGCTCGCTCGCCCCGCCGGCTCGCCGTACCCAGTCAGGGAGGAGGGATATAGCAAGGTAGGTAGAGAGCTGAAGTGAACTCCTGGTGCAAGATGGTATCTTGGAGAAGGTGCTGTGCCTCTTAAAGGGGCTGCGCGCCTTTTTTGACCACGCCGCCGCCGGCCGTGAACTACCGGTGCCTGCTGCTGGGAATGCACAGAGGAATCCGGCGAGCCCCTCAGCCTGGTTCCTGCCTCTCGTTTTTTCCTGGAAACACACAGTCATGTCCCTAAGTGACTCATTTGTAGTAAATCCGCAACACAATGTGCAATACGTTCACGTTCGACACACTACACAGAATGCAAAATTTTACTGTTTTTTTCTTTACACACTCATTTTGATAGGCACTCACGCTTGTATTTTTTGCCGCTATGCTTAAATTATGCAGAATGTTTCTGACAATCCTTCCTTGGAATCCAATAATCGTCATTTTTAAAACGTGGCGCAAAGATGTAAAAGGCTGAGGCCATTTCAATTTTACTAGTGTTATTAATAAATGCTTTATTTAGGAAGAAAAACTATCCCAATTTTTTTTTTTTTTTAGTTCTCTTTTCAGTGCATATCTAAAATTAAGTGGGTTTTGTTTGTTTTGTTTTATTTTTGCAGGGAGGATTTTGATCAGCAAAAAATGTTTAAAAAATAATTTTAAAGAAAAAATTATAAATTACTGACATGGACAACTTTGTACTAGGTGAGAATTTCCTTTTGGCGTTTTGATATCATTGGCTTAGCATTGGTTTTAGAATATTTACCCAGTAACAAATACTGAGCCCCTGCTATGTGCTAGCACTGTGTCAGGCACTAGGAGTCCAAAGGTGAGCAAAACAAACAGTCCCTCCTCGTAGGAACCCAGATTATGCATTATAATTATTATATAATGTTATGATTTATAATAATATTTTTAAAAATATTAGCACACACTTCATATAAAAGAGTTGGATCAACCCAAAATAAGCAGGTATGCTATATATATGTAGAACGAGTATAGGCAAACTTTTCTGTAAAGGGCCAGATAGCAAATATTTTTGGTTTTGTGGGCCTCTGTGGCAACTACTCAACATGCAATGTCTTGGCATGAAACTGGTCACAGACGATATGTAAACGAATGACTGTGGCAATAACATATACAAAAATTATACTACTTGAAAATTTCAATATTGTACAATTTTCATGTCATGAAGTATTATTCATTTAATTTTTTGCAACTATTTAAAAACATAAAAGCCATTGCAACCTCACAGGTGTACTAAAACAGCAGGATTTGGCTTGCTGGCTGCAGTTTTTAGACTCCCCTACACAGAGTAATAAAACCAGAAGTGCACTTAGAAATATTCTAATGAACCTCCCTCACTAACACTCTCCCCACAACTTAGCAAATAAGAAAAAAAGCCCAGAGAGAGAAAATGGTTTACTCAGAATCACACGTCTGTAGATGGAGCAGAAGCAGCCTATAGAGCTTCTGACAGCAAGCCCAAAGCTTTGTCCCTTTCAATGGTTGCCTCTTTTTCTTCCCTTTCTCCTCCTCCCCTCCTTCCTTTGTGTTTATCCATATTTTCCCTTCACTTCTTTCCACTACAGAAATGAGGTGTTACCCCTAAATGACAGAAATTTAAAAAGGGAAATGTAAAGTGACTCGATTAGGCCTAAGGCTAGGCAAGGATTTGATAAGTGTGATAGAAATGGAACAGGAATTGTCTTTATCACAGTAAATCACTCCTCTGCAAGAATTTCGAGGTACTTTTTAAACGTTTTTATAGCACGAATTTTGCAGGCCTTATTTCAGAGGTGAAGGCACTGAGATTTCAGCTTCTTAGTGACGAAGAGCATCATCTAACCAAGCATATTACAGATAGAACAGACACGATTATGGTGGTACAATTTGGAATTGGGGACCTTGGGTAATTTTTTTTCCTTTTCTCTGTTTTTCAAACTGCAATGTTATATAGTGGTTTTCGGAATTAAATACATTATATATATTAGAACTACTGTTTTGAATGTAGATATTGAAACCCAAACTGTATCTTGAAGAGTAGCCTCTGTAGAAGAGTTGCTTTTCCAGAAGTGGAAGTGGGATACAATATCATCCATCCCACCTCATGCGTGGCTCACTCTATTTGCTAGATCGTTCAGATTTTGTCAGTAGACATGAGTCAGAATTTTTCCATTTACTTTATCTAGTAGCATTTATTGTATGCATAAAACTGACTCATCTGCAGTCCATGAATGGGCACTTGCTTCAGCTATACATTTAGTTATTGTATGTAATGCATACACACATGTATTAATTCAACACACATATACTGAGTGCTGGTTACCATGTGCCAGATTCTGTGCTGGGGCAGAGACAAAGAAAAATGTGAAGTTATATCCATTCACTGACTTTTGGGAGCTCAGATTTTGGTGACCTAATAGGCATTAGAAATAATCATAGTTAAAGTTATTGAGCAATACCCTGTGTCTGCCCAATGATAAGTATTTCAGTGCACTATCAACTCTCATCCTTACCCTACTCCTGTTTAGTAGATAGTATTCACAGACAGGAAAATTGCATCCCAGAAAGTTCACGAAGCTAATGAGTAGAAGGGTTCAGCTTTGACCATGTCTGCTTGACTCCAAAGCCCACACTTTTAATATTCACTAAACCATCTCACTAGCAGATACTGAAATATGAACTATGTGGTTCATTTAAAATTGATTCAACAAACCTGTTGAGCCCATTACATCTGTTAGTCACTGTTCTTGGATAATAGAGAATAAAACTGATTTTAATTAAATTTTCTTTCCTTTAAGGTAGATGTTAAAGTAGATGCTTAACAAAGATTGATTCAGAGTTCTCTTAGTTTTATCTTTACAGGGAGAAGAGAAAATGATTCCAATTTATTCAAGAAAAGAGATTATTTTTAGGGAGTATTAAATAGAGAGGATGACTACAAGAAGAATAGGCATCTAAACCATCCTCATTCAAACCAAGTTGCCTTTCTTGGCTTGAGGGTAACTGGGCCAGAACCAGCAAGAACTGTCGAAGTTGAGATTTCACACAAATGTTGACAGAGGTAGATAGGCCTTCCAGAATCAGAGGATCATGCCAGCAAGTGATTCTTTTTTTTTTTTTTTTGGTCCTTATTCTCCACCCTGTGGCTAAGAGAGGACCCAGATGTACAATAAGAGAGGTTGAGAGTCATTTTTGAGTTTGCTCTGTGAAATTAATAATCATAACGTGCTTCTCTTACATACAATTAAACTAAGCTTTGGTAGAATTTCAAACTAGGAAGCTTATGCTTACAAGTGGACCCTCTCTTGTTTGTACATTTGTGGCTCATGTAATTAAACAACATACCAATCAAAATATCAGTCTCTCCTGAGTTTGGACCTCCTGAAGCAGCCCATCTGGCTCAGAGAAAAGTCACTTCAACAAAAGTCACTTGAATCTTAGTTATGCAAAGGCAAGGCAAGTTGGCAGACAAATGGTGAGTCATCTTAAATCAAATTGTCTCTCTTCATTCTGGAAATGTAGAGTTGTTTTCCTAGGATAATGGCGTTATAAGGGTTTTGTTTTTGTTTTTGTTTAAAGTTGCTTCACACTATACACCTACAAGAATGGCTAATATTAAAAAAAACAATAAAAAACCCCCTGACACTACAATGCTGATAAAGATGAGGAGAAACTGATCATTCATACCTTGCCGGTGGTAATATAAAATGGTACAGCCACCCCAAAGAACAATTTGGCAGTTTCTTAAAAAATTAACCCTGCATATGATCCAGCAATTACACTCCTGACCATTTATCGCAGAGAAATGAAAATTTATGTTCACACACAAAACCTGTAAACAAATGTGTATAGCAGGTTTATTTGTAATAGCCAAAAACTGAAATCAGCCCAGACGTTCTTTAAGTAGTGAATGGTAAATAGACTGTGATACATGGAATACTACTCAGCAGTAAAAAGGAGCGAACTAATGTTACATGCAACAATTTGGATGAATCATGCTGGACGAAAAAAGCCAATCTCCAAAGACTGGTTACTTTATGGTTCCACTTAGACAACATTTTGAAAATGATATAATTTTAGAAGCAGAACCAGAGATGGGAGGTGGAGGGGTGACTTTTTTGTCTAAGCCATAAAAAGCATTATGCCTTGGGTATCTTGTTCTCAGGAAAGCCAGTTGCCATGTGAAAAGACACTCAAGCAACACAAGCAGAACCAGAGATGGGAGGTGGAGGGGTGACTTTTTTGTCTAAGCCATAAAAAGCATTGTGCCTTGGGTATCTTGTTCTCAGGAAAGCCAGTTGCCATGTGAAAAGACACTCAAGCAACACTATGGAGAAGCCCACATTGAGATGAACCTCTGTATTAGCAGAAGGAAAGGGGGTGCAGCTATAAAAGGGCAGCGATGTGGGATCCTTATGCTACTGGAATGGTTCTGTGTGTTTTTCTTTTTTTTTTTTTTTCCTTTTTGTCTTTTTTCGTGACCGGCAACGGGATCGCTACCCTCGGTGTCGCGCCTGCACCGCGCTCAACCAGTGAGCGGACCGGTCTCTATATGGGATCCGAACCCACGGCGGGAGCGCCACTGTGCTCCCAAGCGCCGCACTCTACCGAGTGCGCCACTGGGCCGGCCCTGGTTCTGTGTTTTGACTGTGGTGGTGGATACTGGAACTACAGGGGTGATAACATTGTATAGAACTAAACATATGTATATACATATACACACATAAATGAATACAAGTAAAACTTGGTTGTAATATTATGCTATAGTTTTTAAAGTGTTACCATTAGGGGAAACTGGGAAAAGTGTACAAGTGTTCTTACAACTGTATATGACTCTACGATTTATCTCAATTTTAAAA